CAATGATGAGTGAAAAAAAGCCAATATCAAAAGGTCACATACTGTATGGTTCCATTTATGTGACATTCTTGAAATGACAAAATTATAGAGATAAAGAACAAATTAGTGGTTATCAGAAGCTAGGGATGTTTGGTGAGGGAAGGAGGAGACACTTGACTATAAAGGGATATTTGAAGGAGATATTTGTGATGGTGACGTAGTTCTGTATCTTCATCAAGGTGGTGGTGCCGTGGATTTACTCACATGATAGAAAGACTAGAGCTATATACATAGTATACCAATTTCAGTCTCCTGATTTTGATATTGTACTGTAGTTGTGTAAGATATAATCATTGGGAGAAACTGGGTGAAGTGTGCACTGAAACTATGTACCTACCTTTACAACTTTCTGTGAATCTATAAATATTTCCAAATATTAAGTGGAAAAAAATAATTGGTCAAAATTATCTCTTATTTTAGGTGGTCTTATTTTGTTGCATAACCTACAGAGTAAGGTCCTGATGTTCTGCATTTCTAAATGGGCTCTGTCCAAATTACATTAAATGAAAAATAGGAAACTCCTATATAGCACGTTGTATGTTCTAAGCACTTTACCTGTGGCTTACTAATCCTCACCAACCCCAGTGTGATAAGTACTATTATTATCCCTATTGTACATGTGCAACTCTGAAGCACAAAGTGGTTACTTGGATAGAAGGTGCTGGAGCCAGCATAGGGAGCCAAGCAAATTGCATTCAAACTCCATGCAGATCTTAGAAATACAGCTGACCTTTGAAAAACATGGAGGGTAGGGACGCCAACCCCACCCCTCAGCCCCCATTCCTGCACAATCGAAAACCTGCTATAACTTTAAACTGTACAATTGGCTCTTTGTATCTGTGAATTCAACCAACCACAGATCGAAAGAGTGGTATTTTCCATCCGCTGTTGGGAATATGAACATACTATGTTTCATCCACAGTTGATTGAATTCCTGGAGGCAAAACCTGATAGGAAGGGCCAACTGTATTTATTGAAAACAATCCGCATATAAGTGGACACACCCAGTTCAAACCGGTGTTGTTCAAAGCTCAACTATAGAGGGACTCTAAGGAAATCAAAGCAGGTATGCCCTTTTCCAGGCTATAAGGTGTTTTATCTGGCCTCTTTCCATTGGCTGTTCCACATCTAACAAAGAAAATCTGATTTTGTTTTCACAGTAAGAATGCTGATGAAGATAAGATCAAAGATAGGCTGGATCAGTTGAGATGCCACTTTACATGGAAGTTGCTAATTGAAGACACTGAAGTGCCTGATTTAGAAAACAGGGTCTTCGATGAGATTGAGTTCCTTGACACCAAATACAAAGGGGCAATATACAACCTTCTGGCCTATGTGAAACACCTGAAAGGCCAGAATAAGGAAGCCCTGCAGAGCTTGAAAGAAGCCGAAGACTTAATCCAGCAAGAACACGACAATCAATCCGAGCTGAGAATTCTGGTTACCTGGGGCAACTATGCCTGGCTGTATTACCACATGGGCCAATTGGCAGAAGCCAAGACTTACCTGGACAAGGTGGAGAACACTTGCAAGAAGTTTGCCAGCCCTTACTGCTATAGAATGGAGTGTCCTGAGATGGACTGTGAGGAAGGATGGGCCTTGCTGAAATGTGGAGGAAAGCATTATGAGCGGGCCAAGGCCTGCTTTGAAAAGGCTCTGGAAGTGGACCCTGAGAACCCTGAATACAGTGCTGGGTATGCAATCTCCACCTACCGTCTGGATTACTTTAACAGAACAACACGGGTCAATGAGGCATTTTGTCTGCAGCCCCTAAAAAAGGCCATCAGTCTAAATCCAGAAAATGCATATATTAAAGCTCTCCTTGCTGTGAAGCTTCAGGGTGTGGGACAAGAAACTGAGGGAGAAAAGTACATTGAAGAAGCACTGAGCAGCATGTCCTCGCAGACCTACGTCTTTCGCTATGCAGCCAAGTTTTACCGAAGAAAAGGCTCTGTGGATAAAGCTCTTCAGCTCTTAAAAATAGCTTTGCGGGCAACACCCTCCTCTTCTTCCCTGTACCACCAGATAGGGCTTTGCTATAGAGCACAAGTTTTTCAAATAAAGAAAGCTTCAAACTGGCAGCCTACAAGACAGGATAGAGAAACCATTGACAGAATAGCAAGATTAGCTATACGTCATTTTGAATCTGCTGTGGAACTAAAGCCCACATTTGGACTTGCTTTTAAAGACCTGGCAGATATGTACATAGAAGCAGGCGACTTGAGAAAAGCTGAAGATGCTTATCAAAAAGCGTTCTGCATAAAATCACTTGAAGAAGAAAATCTGCAAGAGATATATTTTCACTATGGCCAATTTCAGAAATTTCAAAAGAAATCTGAAGCCGATGCAATTATCTATTATTTAAAATCAATAAAAATAGGAAAGCCTTCATTTATAAGGGAAAAAAGTATCAGTTCTTTGCAGAAACTGTCTTTAAAGAAACTTCGGAGAAATGCATCAGACATAGAAAGCTTGAGCATCCTTGGGTTCATGTACAAACTGAAAGGAGAAATGAATCAAGCCCTGGAGTATTATGAGCGAGCCCTAAGGCTGGCTGTTGGCCCTGAGAACTCTATTGGTATATGAGTGCTAGGTGCTGAAATATGGACCACTTTCACATATCATTTGATTTTAGCTTAAAATGTACTAATCATCTTTTCTGCTTGCTGCTTTCATAAACATATTAGAAGGCCGGCCGAGTGGCTCAGTTGGGTAAGAGTTAGCTTAAGAGCATGATCTCTGAGCAACAGGGACGCCAGTTCGATTTCCACATGGGCCAGTGATGCAGCGCCCGAGCTGAGCTGCCACTGGGCTTCCAATAGTTGGCAGGATGGTTCAGCTGGTGAGAGCCCGTGCTCCTAACAAGACTGACTGTTTGATGGTGGACTATGTCCGCCCACAACCAAGACTGAATTTGGTACCTTGAGCTGGGTTGCTGCCCGGATGGCTCAGTGGATAGAACGTGCCCTCTTAACAAGGCTGCTGGCTCCACTCCCACATGAGATGGTGGCTACGCCCACCCACAACTAAGACTGAACACAGCACCTTGAGCTCCTCGGCCAGGAGCTGCCGTTGGGCAGCAGGATGGTGACTGGCGCCCTCCACAACTAAGACTGAAGAACAACAACTTGGCTGATCCCCCACCCCAATTCTCCAACACTGTTCCTCTCCCCCAATTCCTTAATTAAAAAAAAGAAACATATTATGTAATTTTCTGTAATAATGTAATTTTTGAACAATTATTCAAACCTGGTAATATATTAGTTGTATGCAGAAAATAGTGACACAATAAATGTTTCTGTGTGTGAAAGAGGAAGAGACAGAATCCATTTCTCTGTGAATGTTATATCGTAGAAATAAGTTTGCTAAATAAATTTATAGCAAATAAAACACTGCAACTGTATAAAGTAAACTGATTCATTATTTGATCAACAAATAGTTTTCAGGGTTAGATACCAAAAATACTATGGTGTTGTAGGGAAAGAAAATTTTTTTTTCCTCTACCCTACTTGTGTTCGTTGGCTGGGGGTTGGGTGAGGGGGGCATGAATTAGAGTGACAATAATCAGATTAACAACAGAAAAGTAAAATTCAATCACATGTGCATCTCACATACACATGAGAGTACCCAGTGATGAGTAACTCAAAGAGGTGGTTAGAACTTAGGCTTTTGTAGCATCCTAACAAATGAACAATAAATGTTTAGAGAGGTGATAAGACAAGGAAAAGAACTTTGAGTTTCTAGGGTGGCAAATTGTACGAAGGTAGATATATGGGAAAAACTAATGGAAAATAACCGCTTGTTAGTAAGGTTTGTGATGGATTGTAGATTCCTTTGGTGGTGATTCTGGACTGATAAGTGCCTGGAGTTTTCTCAGGTGATTAACTCTGTCTTTCCTGGTAGAGAGGAGACGGAAGGGTCACCTTCACATAGTCATGTGCTGCTTTTTGGCAGATGGGGGATGGCAGACAGTCTTCTTATATCTGTTTTTCAATTGCCTTCTGCTCAAAATAATTCTTAATGCCAATGTGGCATACTTGGGGGTGGCATATTCTACTTCCCTTCAGTGAACAAAGCAGACATTTTCCCGAAACCTCATGTAGTTTACAATCTAGTGAGACAGACACTGAAACAAGAACTCGGTCCATTAAAGGTCAGCTTTCTCCACGAAGATGGTTGAAATTTAATACGTTGTCAGTTGTTCCAAGCAGTTTCTCTTGTTTTGTGCCAGTTTGTCTGAAGCACTATTCAGTCATTTGCTAGTACTGATCTAGTTAGATCAAAAAATATTAAACCGATGCTAAATGATCTGAGAGACCATCTGTGGCAATCATCTTTCATTATGACATTTTATTAAAAGGCATGTGCAACTATATATATATATATANTAAAAGTAAAGGGATGGGAAAAAGATATTTCATGAAAATGAAAATTAAAAAATAGCTGGAATAGCAATATTTTTGCTAGACTAAACAGGCTTTAAAACAAAGTCTATAAGAAGAGACAAAGAAGGACCCAGTAATCCCACTTTTGGGTATTTATCCAAAGACACCCAAAATGCTACTTGGCGGGGATGTATGCATCCATATGTTTGTTGCAGCATTGCTTACAAAGGCCTAGATGTGGAGGCTGCCTGAGTGTCCTCTGATGGATGAATGGGTAAAGAGTAGGTGGTACATATACACAATAGAGTATTGTTCAGCCAGGGAAGGGACTGGGTTCTTGCCATCTGAAGCAGCATGGATGGGCGTGGAGGGTATTGTGCTGAGTGGAGTATGTCAGACAGAGTAAGACAGATGACATGTGATTTCACTTATATGTGGAATCTAAAGAACAAAATAAATGAATAAACAAAACAGAAACAAATTCATAGATTCAGAGGACATTTTCAAGGTTGTCAGATAGGAGGGGGTTTGGGGTGAGTGAGAAAGGGATTAAGTCGTACAAATTGGTCATTACACAGTAGTCATGAGGATATAGGGTATGGCATAAGCAATATAGTCAATAATATGTATGGTGACAGATGGGTCCTAGATTTATTGGGGTGATAGCTGGGCAGGGGAGCAGGGGGAGGTTTAGTGGCAGGGTGAAAAGTTGAAGGCATTAAGAAGTACAAATTGGGGGCAAGCCAAGTGGCTCAGTTGGTTAAGAGTTAGCTCAAGAGCATGAACGCTGAGCAACAAGGCCGCCGGTTCAATTCCCACATGGGCCAGTGATGCAGCGCCCGAGCTGAGCTGCCGCTGGGCTTCCAACAGGTAGCAGGATGGCTCAGCTGGTGAGAGCACATGCTCCTAACAACAAGGTTGCCTGTTCATTGGTGAGCTACGCACGCCCGCAACTCAGCACCCTGAGCTGAGCTGCCACCCGGATGGCTCAGTGGATAGAGCGCACTCTTAACATCAAGGCTGCTGGTTCGACTCCCACATGGAATGGTGGCTACATGCACCTACACTAAGACTGTAACACAGCACCTTGAGCTTAGAGGCCACGAGCTGCCAAGGGGCATCCAGATGGCGACTGGTGCCCTCCACAACTACGACTGAATGGCAACAACTTGGCTGGTCCCCTTCCCCAATTCCCCAACCCTGTTCCTCTCCTCCAATTCCCCAATTAAAAAAAAAAGAAAAAAGAAGTACAAATTGGTAGTTACAAAATAGTCATGGTAATGGAAAGTAAAGCATAGGGAATATAGTCAATGATATGGTAATTACTATGTATAGTGCCAGGTGGGTACTAGACTAGTCAGGGAGATCACTTCTTAAGTTATACAAATGTCTAGCTACTACGCTGTACACCTGGAATACAAAATAATATTAAATGTCAGTGTAATTGAAAAATAGTGGGGAGGGAAAGGTGAAGGGGAATAAGAGGTTCAAATTTCCAGGTATAAAACAAATAAGTCATGGGATGTAATATAAGTATTGGGAACATGATAACATGGTACAGTGTCAGTACTTATCGTGGTGATCACTTCTTTAGGTATATAAATGTTGAATAACTATGGTGTACACCTGAAACTAAGATAATATTGCATGTTAGCTGTATGTCCTTTAATACAATTTTTTAAAGACCTTATTAAAGAATAAAAAGACAAGCTACCCACTGACAGGAAATATTTGAAAACCACACACCTCACAAAGAAAACATATCTAGAATCTATACAGAATTCTCCAAACCAAACAATAAAAACAAACAATCCAGCTAGGAAACAGGCAAACGATATGAAGAGATATTTCACCAAAGAAGATATGCAAATGGCAAATAGACATGAGAAAAGATGTTCAACACCACTAGCCATTAGGGAAATACAAAATAAGACCACAGTGTGAGATCACTACACTCCTATTAGAAGAGCTGAGATTTTAAAAAAAGAAATAAAAGGTGAAAATACCAAACACTAGTAAGGACGCAGAAACCTGGATCGTTCATCCATTGCTAGTAGAAATGTAAGATGATATACCACTCTGAAAAACAGTGGCAGTTTCTTAAAAATGTAAGCACACACTTACCATACAACCTAGCAATTGCACTCCTGATCATTTAATGCTGAGGAAGGAAAATTTACTTTGGTTGTTCGTTTGTTTGTACAGGCAAAATCCTGTACACAACTATTCATAGTATCTTTATTTGTAATGGGCTCAAACCGGAAATAACTGAAAAGGCAATGATGAGTGAAAAAAAGCCAATATCAAAAGGTCACATACTGTATGGTTCCATTTATGTGACATTCTTGAAATGACAAAATTATAGAGATAAAGAACAAATTAGTGGTTATCAGAAGCTAGGGATGTTTGGTGAGGGAAGGAGGAGACACTTGACTATAAAGGGATATTTGAAGGAGATATTTGTGATGGTGACGTAGTTCTGTATCTTCATCAAGGTGGTGGTGCCGTGGATTTACTCACATGATAGAAAGACTAGAGCTATATACATAGTATACCAATTTCAGTCTCCTGATTTTGATATTGTACTG